TTTACAATACCACATACAGCCACTTCAAAATATCGTCGTCATGTTGTCAAGCGTGACGTCATAACTATCCGACGTAAAAGAGCATTGACTTCCTGAGCGATTTTGGTTACCGGCTTATTTTCAGTTTGAATGGATTTTTTTTTCTTTTTCTTTTGGTTAATGTAATTGTTTCCGGTAAACATATCCTATCATAATGATGTTTCACTCGTATGGCATAAACACGTCTACGTTTGTCATTATATATATATATATATATATATATATATATATAAACATATTCTGCTATAACATTTATATTTGCTTCCGACTATAAAATAGAACAGATAAAAGGTTCACAAAGATTCTGACACAAATCTATCGTCCAACATTCTTTCTTTTCATAAATGAGTTTCTAAATTTGTATAACACAGATGCTTCAAATAACTATACAAGATCAACCCCGAATTTCAGAAACTCCTTCCCCTGTCTGAGATAACCCTCCTATTGAAGAAAATTCACACCTCCATTCTACGAAAACACCTCAAATTTGAGCTCTTTTTGGAAAAATAACACCACTTGTCTGTGATAGCACCTCTTATTGGAGAAAGATAACACCACGTGTCTCAGATAACACCTCTTATTGGAGAACGATAACACCACGTGTCTGTGATAACACCCCCTTATTTGAGAAAGATAACACCACCTGTCTCAGATAACACCTCTTATTGGAGAACGATAACACCACGTGTCTGTGATAACACCCCTTATTTGAGAAAGATAACACCACATATCTCAGATAACACCTCATGTTGGAGAAATATACCACCACGTGTCTGAGATAACACCTCTTATTGGATTTATATAACACCACCTGTCTCAGATAACACCTCTTATTGGAGAAAGATTGTGCCGCCTTTCGCAGATTTTACATGGAATTCCAGATACATCCAACTAATATCATATCAGGCAGTTTTTCCGGGAACCCACCTTACTCAAACGATTGATAACAATCACGTGACCTGGTCTGATTACCATAATTTGATGGAAGCGTCGGAGTTTATGAGATCTGAAGAATGATTCAATTACTATGTTCACGTGTTCATTGGATATGACGTCATAATACTTGAACGTACATAATGAAATAATGGAGTCACATTTACATTTCAAATCAGTATTTATGTCTCGTTACGGTACATATAACACAAAAGCACACGAACACAATACAAAATGTGGACAAATTGTGCGGTAGCTATAGGGACATCATTTCAAAACCCAGAATCATCCGATCAACAAGTGATATGTTACAGAAACAATAACAAAAAAGGCAGAGGTCAGACCACCACAACCCAAACATGCAGGACATGGCCGATCACAGGTTTACAGCTGTAGATAGTATTTCTCACTCTGTACGTTTTTATTTAAAATGAAAATCAAATTAACACTTTTTTAATAATTCGAATTTTCATGTTAAGGACCGAGTCTACCAGTTACTAACGGACATTACAGGGACGTTGTACAAAGTTGACTTGCCGAAATATACGCTGTTTAATGATCCGTTCGTGTCGTCTGGTTCTTTCTATAGCCATACTGTGCGTTTGAAAGCGTTGATATTGTAAAGCTTCTAAACGATCAAGATAAAAAAAATAAACTCTCTCATCATAAATTTAATTTGAATTATTTTCTATTTTCTGTTTTTGTTCTAACTCTTTAATTCATTCCGAAAATACTAAATGAATTGTTTACCACCAAATAAATTTCATTTATGTTAAAAAAAAACACTTTGGAAAAATAACGTATTAGTTCAGAAATGCGTTGAAACGACGTCTGCTTCCTGGTTCGCAGTAACAAAATGGCTGCGCGCATGCAGAGTTAGTGAATCCGCAATAAATGTTTTCATCATATCAGAGATATTTTCTGTTCGTAGAATTTATACATGGCCCTTAAGAATGATTTCTATGGGACGTGCATCAATGACAAAATCGCACAGTGAAGGCATGACTCAGATAGAACTAATCTGGACGAGGTGACTGGCTACGACTTCTCGTTCTATGTTCAACTAGAACGTATATATAGATATCTCTCTCTCTCTCTCTCTCTCTCTCTCTCTCTCTCTCTCTCTCTCTCTCTCTCTCTCTCTCTCTCTCTCTCTCTCTCTCTCTCTCTCTTTCTGTCTGCCTGTCTCTCTGTCTCTCTGTCTGTTTGTCTGTCTGTCTGTCTGTCTGTCTGTCTGTGTCTCTCTCTCCGAAATATCGCCTATTTATATGCCAATTTGGATTTTCTTGAGTTATCCCCCTTGAACAAACTTTAAGTGACAGTTTCATTTATATTGCATACTATTACGTCATTAACGAAGCGTAAATACAAGAATATACTATTACTTACTTAGAATGGATCATCATTTCTGTACGTATGTTGTAAGATGTTTTAGAGTAGTTGAATAAAAGATGTGAGTATGCTAATATAACGACACCCTCAGTTCATAAAAAAAAAATCATTAAAAGGAACTAAAACAATAAACAAAAATCTGATATCATGGAACTGATGGTCACAGCCAGACAGAAATGTAGGTGTGATGTATCGATAAGTCTACTGTCATAATCAGATCAGTTTGTAGTATTTCTCCGCTGCAGTTGAAAAATGACGACACTAGTAGGTGGACCACAAGTTACTCTCCTATACAGATGTCGGCACACTGCATGTCTTTCTTCAGTACTCAGAAGTTCACATGTTCCTCTCGTTAACCTCCATCTACACTTCTCTCTCAAATTTCTGTATATATCCTTCTATAGTCAGATGTCCCTTACGTCCCTCTCGTATATATCCTTCTATAGTCAGATGTCCCTTACGTCCCTCTCGTATATATCCTTCTATAGTCAGATGTCCCTTACGACCCTCTCGTATATATCCTTCTATAGACAGATGTCCCTCACGTCCCTCTCGTATATATCCTTCTATAGTCAGATGTCCCTCACGTCTCTCTCTTATATATTCTTCTATAGTCAGATGTCCCTCACGTCCCTCTCGTATATATCCTTCTATAGTCAGATGTCCCCCACGTCCCTCTCGTATATATCCTTCTATAGTCAGATGTCCCTCACGTCCCTCTCGTATATATCCTTCTATAGTCAGATGTCCCTCACGTCTCTCTCTTATATATTCTTCTATAGTCAGATGTCCCTCACGTCCCTCTCGTATATATCCTTCTATAGTCAGATGTCCCCCACGTCCCTCTCGTATATATCCTTCTATAGTCAGATGTCCCTTACGTCCCTCTCGTATATATCCTTCTATAGACAGGTGTCCCTCACGTCTCTCTCTCTCTCTTATATATCCTTCTATAGTCAGATGTCCCTCATTTCCCTCCCATATAATGTAAACCTTCTTCTATAGTCAGGTGTCCCTCACGTCCCTCTCGTATATATCCTTCTATAGTCAGGTGTCCCTCACGTCCCTCTCGTATATATCCTTCTATAGACAGGTGTCCCTCACGTCTCTCTCTCTCTCTCTCGTATATATCCTTCTATAGTCAGATGTCCCTCACGTCCCTCTCGTATATATCCTTCTATAGTCAGATGTCCCCCACGTCCCTCTCGTATATATCCTTCTATAGTCAGATGTCCCTCACGTCCCTCTCGTATATATCCTTCTATAGTCAGATGTCCCTCACGTCTCTCTCTTATATATCCTTCTATAGTCAGGTGTCCCTCACGTCCCTCTCGTATATATCCTTCTATAGTCAGGTGTCCCTCACGTCCCTCTCGTATATATCCTTCTATAGACAGATGTCCCTTACGTCCCTCTCGTATATATCCTTCTATAGACAGATGTCCATCACTTCCCTCTCGTATATATCCTTCTATAGACAGATGTCCCTTACGTCCCTCTCGTATATATCCTTCTATAGACAGATGTCCATCACTTCCCTCTCGTATATATCCTTCTATAGTAAGATTTCCCTCACGTCTCTCTCTTATATATACTTCTATAGACAGATGTCCCTCACGTCTCTCTCTTATATATCCTTCTATCGTCAGATGTCCCTCACGTCCCTTTCGTATATATCCTTCTATAGTCAGATGTTCCTCACGTCCCTCTCGTATATATCCTTCTATAGTCAGATGTCCTTCACGTCGCTCTCGTATATATCCTTCTATAGTCAGATGTCTCTTACGACCCTCTCGTTGATATCCTTCTATAGACAGATGTCCCTCACGTCTCTCTCTTATATATCCTTCTATAGTCAGATGTCCCTCATGTCCCTCTCGTATATATCCTTCTATAGTCAGATGTCCCTCACTTCCCTCCCATATAATGCAAACCTTTTTCAATAGTCAGGTGTCCCTCACGTCTCTCTCTCTCTTATATATCCTTCTATAGTCAGATGTCCCTCACGTCTCTCTCTTATATATCCTTCTATAGACCGATGTCCCCCACGTCCCTCTCGTATATATCCTTCTATAGTCAGATGTCCCTCACGTCCCTTTCGTATATATCCTTCTATAGTCAGATGTCCATCACTTCCCTCTCGTATATATCCTTCTATAGACAGATGTCCATCACTTCCCTCTCGTATATATCCTTCTATAGACAGATGTTCCTCACGTCCCTCTCGTACATATCCTTCTATAGTCAGATGTCCCTCATGTCCCTCTCGTATATATCCTTCTATAGTCAGATGTCCCTCACATCCCTCTCGTATATATCCTTCTATAGACAGATGTCCCTCACGTCCCTCTCGTATATATCCTTCGCTGCTGAGCTATATTCTCATTTGATTATTTCATAAGAAAATAATTTAAGAAACCATAAATGCATTTATCAGCTGAAACTTTCGAGAAAATCTCAAACCCCTATCATCCCTCAAATTACACTGTTTTTTTGTCATTGTTAAATGATACATCGCCTTTTAGACACTCGGCGCTCGGTTTTATATTGACTTCACGCAGCTTTATATGGTGTTATTCTCTCTATTGGCCTTTGCATGTTACTTCAGGTAGGGCACTGACCTTCAATTTCTAATTCTAAAAGTGTTCCTCTTCTTTCATCAAGAAGAGGACGGAATCACACGCCCTGGGTTTTGAAATAATAGTCCTCCAAACTAACCTTGGTCTATGCACCTTGCACAACTGGAAAGCGCCGTAAATGATTGGATTCAGCATTGAGTTGGAGAGACCCATGGTGGACAATCCGGCCATCAACGACGGACTTAACTCTTTCCATTGAGCAAATGAATTCCCGGTAAAAAGCACGTAGTAAGGAAACCAACAAACAACAAAGGCGATGACGATGAAAATGGACATGCGCAATGCTTTTCTCTTGGCTTTCTTTAACAGATTGTTTCTGACCTGTCCCCTGCTGATGTCGTTTACATTCGATGTGATGTCATTACCTGAAAATAAAACAGAAAAAAATAGTAATAGGAATGTTCTCAACCTCCACTTCGTATATTTTTTTATAATCATTAACAACACATTGATGGAGTCCACACAACATTAAACCAGATGTAGTCACGTTCATTAACAACACATTGATGGAGTCCACACAACATCAAACCAGATGTAGTCATGTTCATTAACAACACATTGATGGAGTCCACACAACATCAAACCAGATGTAGTCACGTTCATTAACAACACATTGATGGAGTCCACACAACATTAAACCAGATGTAGTCATGTTCATTAACAACACATTGATGGAGTCCACACAACATCAAACCAGATGTAGTCACGTTCATTAACAACACATTGATGGAGTCCACACAACATCAAACCAGATGTAGTCACGTTCATTAACAACACATTGATGGAGTCCACACAACATCAAACCAGATGTAGTCACGTTCATTAACAACACATTGATGGAGTCCACACAACATTAAACCAGATGTAGTCACGTTCATTAGACACAGGTCTAGTTGATATAGACTGAATCATTCGGTCTGGAGTCGATCAACATCACAACTCGGTCCTATATTGAGTGAGGGAATGGACTACTCCTTTATCGGACGGCATTTAACATTCACAGCAGGTAAAAAGTCTTGAACAGGTAGCAAAAACATCATACTCCATCGCTGATAAGGTTAACAAAACATGATACTCTATTGCTGAACAGGTAAACAAAAACACGATACTCCATTGCTGAACAGGTGAAAAAAACATGATACTCTACTGCTGAACAGGTAGACAAAAACACGATACTCTATTGCTAAACAGGTAAACAAAACACGATACTCTATTGCTGAACAGGTAAACAAAAACATGATACTCTATTGCTGAACAGGTAAACAAAAACATGATACTCTATTGCTGAACAGGTAAACAAAAACACGATACTCTATTGCTGAACAGGTAAAAAAAACACGATACTTTATTGCTGAACAGGTAAACAAAAACATGATACTCTATTGCTGAACAGGTAAAAAAAACACGACACTCTATTGCTGAACAGGTAAATAAAAACACGATACTCGATCGCTGAACAGGTAAACAAAAACATGATACTCTATTGCTGAACAAGTAAACAAAAACACGATATTTTGTTGCTGAACAGATAAAGAGTTTGTTTCAAAACACCGTAAGTATTGTAACATTGTAGGAATAGCAGATCGATAACTTGTGACGTCACCTTTCCTGAGTTTGATGATTGTATAAAATATATATATATAGGATTAGTGCGGTTCATTATGTTTTATAAGATGAAGTCGGCAGCCTACGTATTATCATAAGAGGCTTTTTTACGTCTCGTTAATCTGATCACTTATACATGACACGCTCTTACAAAACATGGTTATTAATATGATATATGTATATTTTTCATTATCAAAAGGGTATAGAAAGCAACACAAGCAACATATGTTACTTCACAAACATGTAGCGTGCACGTGCAGCAATTTGATTTTCACTACAACTACAACTATCCAATTTTGTCTCTTAAGCACCTATGTTATGAATGATCGACACACACAACACCGGAAGTACAATATCTACACAACTTCTACTCTTTATTTACTAAGCATATGTACAGCTCGTAACACCACAACGTAAAACCGACTGAGACAATCACAGCCGTCCAGGATCAGGGGTGTAAGTACGCACATCAAGCACACAAAAATACTACTCCATGTTTACTTTCCAAACTTCTCAAGCTCCTCGAAGGTTTTAACGCATTTTTGTGATATATTCAATCACACATTCCGGATTAAAATGTTGCATATAAAGTAATATACCACCATATCACAACCCAACTGCTATCACTCAAAGCATTTTACACAAATTCTTGATCCATGGAACACAATCTTTACTAACAGTCTACTTTGATTTTGAAAAATAAGTAGATACCACGTGATATACATCTAGTGTGCGGTACCCTGTATATCACGTTTTATACATGTAGTGTGCGGTACCCTGTATACCACGTTTTATACATGTAGTGTGCGGTACCCTGTATACCACGTTATATACATGTAGAGTGCGGTACCCTGTATATCACGTTATATACATGTATTGTGCGGTACCCTGTATACCACGTGATATACATGTAGAGTGCGGTACCCTGTATACCACGTTATATACATGTAGAGTGCGGTACCCTGTATACCACGTGATATATATGTAGTGTGCGGTACCCTGTATACCACGTTTTATACATGTAGAGTGCGGTACCCTGTATATCACGTTATATACATGTATTGTGCGGTACCCTGTATACCACGTGATATACATGTAGAGTGCGGTACCCTGTATACCACGTGATATACATGTAGAGTGCGGTACCCTGTATACCACGTGATATACATGTAGAGTGCGTTACCCTGTATATCACGTTTTATACATGTAGTGTGCGGTACCCTGTATACCACGTTTTATACATGTAGTGTGCGGTACCCTGTATACCACGTTATATACATGTAGAGTGCGGTACCCTGTATATCACGTGATATACATGTATTGTGCGGTACCCTGTATACCACGTGATATACATGTAGTGTGCGGTACCCTGTATATCACGTGATATACATGTATTGTGCGGTACCCTGTATACCACGTAATGTACATGTATTGTGCGGTACTCTGTATATCACGTTATGTACATGTATTGTGCGGTACCTTGTATACCACGTTATGTACATGTATTGTGCGGTACCCTGTATACCACGTTTTATACATGTAGTGTGCGGTACCCTGTATACCACGTTATATACATGTAGAGTGCGGTACCCTGTATATCACGTGATATACATGTATTGTGCGGTACCCTGTATACCACGTGATATACATGTAGAGTGCGGTACCCTGTATACCACGTGATATACATGTAGAGTGCGGTACCCTGTATACCACGTGATATACATGTAGAGTGCGGTAGTACCCTGTATATCACGTTTTATACATGTAGTGTGCGGTACCCTGTATACCACGTTTTATACATGTAGTGTGCGGTACCCTGTATACCACGTTATATACATGTAGAGTGCGGTACCCTGTATATCACGTGATATACATGTAGTGTGCGGTACCCTGTATATCACGTGATATACATGTATTGTGCGGTACCCTGTATACCACGTAATGTACATGTATTGTGCGGTACTCTGTATACCACGTTATGTACATGTATTGTGCGGTACCCTGTATACCACGTTATGTACATGTATTGTGCGGTACCCTGTATACCACGTTATGTAAATGTAGTGGCGGGTTTCCAGTTGGTGTCCATCGCCATCATTTATGAATGGAATACAGTTTCTTACCTTACCCTGTAGAAACATATTGAAAAGGAAGAATGCATGCATTGTTGTAAAACAAAGCAATGATACGTTATTTTAAAACAAAGGTAACTGGCTAATTTGATAAAGAATGTAAAGTCACTATGATAGAACGAATTACTAGTTTCTTTTTTTGATACGTATGTTTGAAAACGTCTGTAGCGCCTTGTCTGTAAATATTTCGAGGTATAGACAGACATATTGGCAGCGCAACCTGTCTCTCCGAGGAGTTTGATAGTCATGAGTAATTGAATGTACTCAATTTGTCCGAACCGTGGTGGATCACGGCTCTTAGGGGACTGCAACACGTCAATAGAAAATTAGGAAACACGGTAAAACTTTAGTTGATGATGCCAAAATGAAACATTGCGGAGTTATTTGTGAAACCTTCCCCGCCTTACAATGATGTTATTGATTACAATGAAGACTTTCTCCCATTACCAAGTAAATCAGCCCGTCATTTCTATGGGAGTGAGACGATTCATTCTTGTTTGACCTTGTTTTCTCAATATTTGTGCAGTAATAAATTATTTTATTCATTTCATAGAGTATAATAAATGTGTTTTTATCGGCTACATTTGTACTTTTAATTACAAAATGAATAGACAGTGGATAATTCCTATATATTTATCATTGTCCGTAGACAGTGGATAATTCCTATATATTTATCATCGTCAGTAGACAGTGGTCAAAGCCTATATATTTATCATCGTCCGTAGACAGTGGATAATTCCTACATATTTATCATCGTCAGTAGACAGTGGATAATTCCTATATATTTATCATCGTCAGTAGACAGTGGATAATTCCTACATATTTATCATCGTCAGTAGACAGTGGATAATTCCTATATATTTATCATCGTCCGTAGACAGTGGATAATTCCTACATATTTATCATCGTCAGTAGACAGTGGATAATTCCTATATATTTATCATCGTCAGTAGACTGGATAATTCCTACATATTTATCATCGTCAGTAGACAGTGGATAATTCCTATATATTTATCATCGTCCGTAGACACTGGATAATTCCTACATATTTATCATCGTCAGTAGACAGTGGATAATTCCTATATATTTATCATCGTCAGTAGACAGTGGTCAATGCCTATATATTTATCATCGTCCGTAGACTGGATAATTCCTACATATTTATCATCGTCAGTAGACAGTGGATAATTCCTATATATTTATCATCGTCCGTAGACACTGGATAATTCCTACATATTTATCATCGTCAGTAGACAGTGGATAATTCCTATATATTTATCATCGTCAGTAGACAGTGGATAATTCCTATATATTTATCATCGTCAGTAGACAGTGGATAATTCCTACATATTTATCATCGTCAGTAGACAGTGGATAATTCCTATATATTTATCATCGTCCGTAGACAGTGGATAATTCCTATATATTTATCATTGTCCGTACACAGTGGATAATTCCTATATATTTATCATCGTCAGTAGACAGTGGTCAATGCCTATATATTTATCATCGTCCGTAGACAGTGGATAATTCCTACATATTTATCATCGTCAGTAGACAGTGGATAATTCCTATATATTTATCATCGTCAGTAGACAGTAGATAATTCCTATATATTTATCATCGTC